TCCAAAAGTTTATGTTAATGTATAGCTTAAGTTTGCACTCTTGATTTGAGCAATTCTTTATTGTTGTTCTTTCGTTGTTAAGTAATGATACGAACATAGCATTTTGTACAGTATATACAGCAAATTCTGTAGGTTGCAGACTGTGTGAGCTTGCTCTAGCGCTGTTTTTGATTATATTGTTATTGAACTCAACTTTAGCTTCAGATGTAGCGCAGTCGTATCACGTAAGCAGAATTAGAAACAGCTTCTACTTTACACAGACAGAATTAAGATCACTTATCGTAACAAATAATAAATTTAATAAATAACTTGACTCTGTGACTAACAGATCGATGTAGGCTAACCTATCACGGCAGCCACCTTACTACCTGAGTTGTATCTCCAGTGATTCGGTGTGCGCTAGACTTTAATCCTTGTATACTACTAGACAACCTACTTCATATACAGTGGTGACTAAACCCCTCGCTGCCTAGTATCTACTGTGAAAGCTAGTGCGTGGCCTCGGTGTCTCAGGGAAACAGAGATAGCACCGCCTATGCGCCCATTATAAAAAAACTCGGGGCAACCACTGTTCACAGCGATTCCGTAGGTTTATCGACTGCGCAGAGCTCACTCACGTTCCGCCGTGTCGTTAAAAAAGCTTGTCGACGTGTCCACTAAAGCGTGCGACACCCGTGAAGTTATTTTTACTCAAGATTAAAATGACTGCCATGCAGTATTTTACTCACGGTGTGCGCGGATTTTCGTCAGGAGTGTAATTTGACGCATGCATCATTTACTTCACCGTGTGCGGCGGAATTCTTTCGATCGAGTAATTTGATCGTGCGTCATTTTACTTGGAGTTAAAATAACATCACGTGTGCGCCAGGCCTTAACGCGGGTTAGCGAACGTTGTTTATTCCCGGCAGACCTGAGTCGAGGCTGCTGCACGCGAGCGGAGCGGAGAAAGCAGCAGGTTCGTCGCGCCCCTGCAGACGGGGAGCGCAGCAAGGTAGCGTTAGCCACAGTCTCGCCGAACGATCCCTCTCCTATCGACGCGCGCCCGTTTTCGTCAGCGCCGGGGGAGGGCCCTACCGAGAACGAACACCTGCCGTAGGACAAGAGGCGCTCCGGCGGAGAGGCTTACCCGAAGTTTCAAGCCCTGAGACCCGTAAGGGATTTTAGCATCCTTTGCGCGACGTGGCGGTGGCGTCGCGCGTTTGTCTGTCGGGTTGTTTTTTCGACGTGAGCAATAGACATTCTCGTTGATGTCTTAACGCTCGTAAAAAGGCTCTCTTAAAGTCTGAGACCTCAGGCTTAAGCATCCAAGATTTTAGGATGTTCTGTTTTTTTCTTACGTTTCGGTCTTTGTAGTTGTTGGAGTCGTGTTTGTTCGGTTTGGTCTGTTTGTTGTTAACCTGTTTCGCCGCGTGCTCTGACGCTCGGTGTGTGAGAGCTAGTGAGTGAGTTCTCATGCTGAACTTCTCTCATCTCTAACAGAAGCGCTGGCAGGGAAGATCATGGCATGCTACTGGAGCTGTCGCCAGCTAGCTGCTTTGCTGTGCTTGCAGATCCAAGACTCGCTGAATGCAGCAGGGCTAATAGAAAGGACTGATCGAAAATCATATGTCACAGCGGTAACAGGATGCGTGCGACAATCTCGTCGACACCGAGCGTTTTAAATTTAATTAAATGTAAATTTAGATTTAATTTTTAATTGAAATTTTACAGCTTGTGTGGCGACGACGGAAAGCGTTGCTTTGGCGTTATTCAGAGTAGGATGAGGACAACAGCAAGTCTGTAGCGGCCACGGTGCCTGTGAACTTTCTTTTAGAGGACTTATGAAGTGACTTTGAATGCTTAACAACACTTTTTGCTAACACGTGCTACAAGATGACGATAAATACAGCGATTAGAATATCTATATCTCTATTTTCACAGGCATTTCCTGTTTTCTCTCTTTTTTTTCACATTAAACTTCCAAATTTTCCCTCGTTTTTTATTAGCCATCTAATTCCCTTTTCCCAATTTTCGAATCGGACCCGCGTGTTACTTGACGCCCCGTGTTTATCTAGGAACTCAGGACTCTACCCTCGCATTGGAACTGTTTCAATTCTGTCATAGCGAGAAGACGAAACGTCGCAGTCATGCGAACTGAGGGATGACGATGAGGAGACTCTAGAGCGGACAGGCCGAACGCTGTTATACCAAGCCGGAGCAAGAGAGGCTTCTACTCTTCCCCGGCCCGGCAAGAACACCCCGGAGAGGCTCAATTGGCCTTTATGGAATGGGTTGGAAGTAGGCGGCGAATTTTCCAAATATTACATGCAGAATTGGTGAATCTTGTTTAGAAATAGTGGGAGGTAGTGCGGCAGGAATTTTCGATGTTCCTGCCCAGAATGATCGCATATGCTTTAGAACATGTGGAAGGTAGCGCGCAGGAATCTTCCGATGTTCATCCTGCAGAATGATCGATCGCTCTCTTGAAATGGTTTGAAGGGTTTAGGAATTCTACGATGTTCCTGCCTTGAATGATCGATTGCTTAGTTGTAGGCGCAGAAGTCTTCCGAGTCAGAATTGATGCTCTTGAAATGTTGGAGGTAAGGCGCAGGCATCTTCACGATGTTCCTGTAGAAAGTGAGTCGATCGCTCTTGAAATGTTTGGAAGGTAGGGCGCAGGAATCTTGCGATTTCTTGTTGTTTCCTGCATTGAACTGATGTTTTAAGAAATGTGGTACGGATTAGGCGCAGGACATCTTCGAGGTTGATGTTTGTGCTTTGCAGATTATACGCTTCTTGAAAATGTTGGAAGGTGGTTTTTCTTAGAATCTTGACACTGTCCAACACGCTTATCAAATTGAACGTAGTTTATGTTATTATTAAAGAAGATTAAGCTTTGTGTTTGAATGGAAAACGGGTCTCAATCAGCATTTCTGTATACCTAACAAAATATTGTAATCGTGTTCATCTCTGAACAATTGCGGCTTAAGTGCGGTGAACGATTCTGATCTGCGGTGACTTTATTCATGTCCCTACCAGATCCACAAAAGGAGTCGACGCCGCTGCGCATGTAGTAGATGAGGGCGTCGAATACGTAGGCGATATGCTTGAGCGCGGACACGTCGAGCACGGGCAGGCTGTCCGAGTGCTCGTTGTTATGCGCGCGCATCAGCGACAGCGCGTAGTTGAGGAAGTCGCGGCGGGTCGAGCTCGTCGTCTCCGCGCCTGCAACGATCGTCGCGCAGCCTTAATAAGACAATTAATTAGATGGTTAATTAGAGGTTTAATTAGACGTGAGTGTGCAGCATCAGCGACAGCGCGTAGTTTGGGAAGTCACGGGGGGTCGAGCTCGTCGTCTCCGCGCTGCAACGATCGTCGCGCGACGTTAATTAGACAATTAATTAGAGGATTAACTATACGATCAATTAGACACGAGCGTGCAGCATCAGCAACAGAGCATAGTTGCAGAAATGATGACAGGTGGTCTCCGTGTATTGAATGACGAAGGGAGAGGAGGTGTCGCATTTTATCGTTACACAAGATTTATTAGAATAATATTAGATCTGTGGTGCCTTATATATCCTAATTACACAGAGATAGACATAATTATATCATAGCTAAGATTCTAAATGCTGGGTTCAAACTAAATAATTACGCACGCATGCACAGCTGTATAATTATTCAATTCGAACCCTACGCTTAGAACTATTACAACGCCACGGAACAGATAAAAGAAGAGCGACAAAGAGAAGCGATCACACGAGGCGGCAGTGCCACCGTCATCGTCGCACGCACCTCGTCCAGTTGTCGAGAATCTCGGCCTGCGTCGCGCGTCCACCGCCGGCTGCCTCCCTCCTCCTCCCCCTCCTCCTGCCCCTCCTCCTCCTCCGCCGCTTCCCCCGGCGTGCTGGTCGCGCGGCGGGCGCTCGCGGTGAGAGAAGAGCGGATGCTGCGGGTGCGTCGGGTCGGTTACCGACGACAACGCAGAGCCGAAGCGAAGCTGCGCCTCGGTCGAGTCCATGACGGTGAGTGTCCAATCCCACGTCGGCTTCAGGTGGTACTCCAGATACGCCTGCACACACGAACAATTGTTGCCTTATAATAATAATAATGTAACCTTATAGCAAGGCCTCAGCTTTGCCATGTAACCAGGTGGTACTCCAGATACGCCTGCGTGCAGAATAATTGTCATGTAACCTTATGATAAGGTCTCTGCGTTGCTATGTAACACTATGACAAGGCCTCAGCTTTGCCATGTAACCTTATAGCAATGTTACCATGGATACAGCAGCCAGCGTGGAGCGTGTGACACTTACGTGTATGTCTAGAGACTCCGTGTACGAGATATCGAGCACGCGTGACAGGTTACCATGGATACAGCAGCCAGCGTGGAGAGTGTGACACTTACGTGTATGTCTAGAGACTCCGTGTACGAGATATCGAGCACGCGTGACAGGTTTGGAACGAGAGCCGGATAATCCTGTAGCATCGTCAGCAGATCTGTGATCTGACGCATCACTGCAAACACGTGACGCATACACTCACGTTACGAATCCAAATCGATCATCATATTCTCGACACAGCCGTGTCACATCATTGATAACATTAGGAGTAAGATAGTATTAAGTAAGTAAGGGGCTACTTAGTCTGTTACTACTCCACTTCTGAAAACATCAATCTTGGAATGATTTCGCACCACTTCACTGCATAATGTAATATATCTTAATCAAAAGATGAATCTAGAAATTATTATTGACATGACAGATCAGAAAGCTTGTTGTAAAAACTATCGCATCATATATAATAATTTTGATAATTGACGTACAAGATAAATCCTAAAGTATTACCGATTAAAATTTTTCAACAATAGGTTATCAAAAAACTCTCGTGCCTGTAATAATTTTTCTATGCATCTCAGAATCATTATTTTTTTAAATATAATAATAAAAAAAAAAATTAAATGAGCTCATATTGATAACGCCAATGCCCTAACCAAAACATCTTCCCAAAGAAGTGCCGCCACTGTATCTTGAGACGTAATCCCCCCTCCCCCACGGCCTAGCCTCGTGACCGCAGTGACGTCACAACAGCGATTCGAAGGGGACCGACTCACCGATGCCGAACGCTCGCGCGAGCGTGCTGTTGGTTGTCGACACGGTCGGCGCGACGTCGTGGTGACTCGCCGTCGACGTAGCCGTCGTCGTCACCGTGTTTCCGCGCCGCAGGTTCGACGGGTCGATGTAAATCAGACCTCCTGAGCCTCCAATAGTAACGCATGAAGCACGTCATTGTCTTTCTTGTGACGACGGGGAGCAATGGGGGCAGAGCGCGCCACGCATGTTCGTGCTTCGATGCGTGGCGCTGACTAGTGTTTCAACATGCACTAACTAAAGTTAAACCAACTCGCACGTGAAAATCACTCGAGGTATAGAGCCAAGAACCTTGCGCATACACAGGTGTTTATGCTATAGGGATTGGTTCACTGTATATATTTAAATAAATAAATAAATAAATATATATATATATTCGGACAACAAACAAGCAGGACACTGTTGTTGTGCATTGTTCGACACAGGTTCACATCTCACTAGCTATTTCCCAATGCGTGAACGGGGTAACACAGTCAAACCTGGACATTGGGCCACTCACTGCCCAAAATGTGTCCCTTATAAGATAGGTGTTCGTTGTATAGAGGTGGCTTCAATGTACAACTATTTCTACCACTCGATGGAATCAGGAAAAGTATCCTTTACGACTATTATCTACTCATTCTATTGAGGTGTAACTATTTTATATTTAGTATTCGACGTACTCCCTATTACATCTGCAGTACACATGCGGGGGTTCGGGCAAGTGCACGCCCGCATGCATGTCAACTTACTTGCTGTCGACACGGATACCAGTCCACCCGTCGTCCTGCTGCTGCCCTCTCGTGGCCGTATTGCCCACTGCAGTGCCGGGGGAGCCTGGAGCGCTCGCGTTCCTTGTCCGCCGGCCCCGGCCGCCCTACGCAGTACATAATACGCTCGATGTAAACACACCTGTCTCGATGTCCACTCCAGCAAGATCTCACACAGCAATGTGTTTCTACAGCTCAAGATTACCCACCCACCACCACGAGCCTTCGACAAGACCGTTGCAACGGAAATATCATAAAGTTACGAGAAAGATGAAAAAGTAAAAGACTTACTAAAAGACAAAAATTCCATCGACGGTCTACGAAAAATAGTTAATGTTGAGACTAATGTTAGTTCAGTCTCTGAGAATGGGGCCGTGGCCCTTAGCACTTCTAAACTGGAACCCCCGAACGCGGCCCTGGTTTGACAGTACATTCGGTATATATTCACAGTAAGATTCAACGTTAACACATGTATTTTAGGTGTTGCAGTGCGTAGTGAGGAAGAATGTACCTTCTCTCTAGTTGTTCGTCCACCAGGTCCTGTACCCCGTCGGCTTGATCGTCTGACTCCCCCGCCTCGCTATCCTCCTCGTCCTCCTCTTCCTCCTCCTCATCGTCGTGGTTCGAGGAGCCATCAGAATCATCACCTGCAATGGTGACAGCTTCGTATGTAACATATGGTCACATCACACACACACGTGTGCTAACGCATACACACATACACGCACGTATGCAGGCATGCACACACACGAACGAAAGCACATACGCATGCACACACACACCTACACAAGTCAGATTTCCTCAAATTTAATCAATGGCATTTATATTTGGCCTCCAATAAATTGGTCCTTTAAAACAAATGAAAAAGAATAAAAACAAGTTAAAATGAGACATTTTACTCACTTCAGTTAATCACGTTTACACACACATTAACACACGACACAGATTTCAAGAATGAAGTAGAACATCATAAACCATAAGCACATGCATCTGATTTTTACCTCCGCCAAGGGGTTGGCAGGAGGTTATGTTTTCACCGGCGTGTGTTTGTTCATTTGTGGGTTTGTTTGTGTACAGCCTAACTGAAAAAGTTATGGACGGATTGTCATAACATTTTCAGGATAGGTCAGAAATGGGCTAACTTAGAATTGATGAGATTTTGTGCTCTCCGAGTGCTCTAGTTCCTAATAGATTTGTCAAGCATTTAATAGCTCTTGTCATCATTGTTAAATCGTCAGAAGTGATCATCAAACTGAGCTACCTGGATCGGAACCCGCTGTTGCCGCGGTGATGGTGCTGCGGCGGAGGCTGGGACCACTGTGCACGCTCTCACTGTCCGATTCACTCTCTGCCAGCAACTCGAGGTCCATGTCACTGCAATATCACCCCGGCAAACATTAGAGCACTGTCAGAGCCATCTAATAAATCATGCGCGAAGCAGCTAAAGATGTCCTATACTTTGGTACAAGTTGATGCATAATGGTTCTACTCGCGCTTGCCTTGAAGATTTTACGAGCACCGTAGCCTGTGATAGTTTTTCATCATTAAAATAACAACAACAACAACAGCAACAACAACAACAACAACAACAACAACAACAACAACAACAACAACAACAACAACAACAACAACAACAACAGTATATTAATAATAATAATAATAATAATATTCAGATGAAGAAGAAGAAAAGAGAGAAGTAATAATAATAATAATAACAACAACAACAACAACAACAACAACAACAACAACAACAACAACAACAAGTGCCGTGGAGCGACAGCGCTCATCTCACGACTACTGCGGTGACTCTGTGGTGGAGTGGTGGGATTCTAGTAAACCCTGTTAGTCCCAAATGTGCCGAAACAGTGGAAGGCACAGGGATGGTATCAGGAACCTTCTCAAAGGAATGTTCGCTTCAGATTAAAGATGTACAGCTCCCATGCGTAACGTAGTAGCAACAACATATTTGCAAGACAGAATAGGTAAGGCACTGCATCCTTTACCTAACCGCACCGTCAGAGCCTATCAGGCTAGAAATAGAGACTGCCACTGTAACTAATTAACGGCAAGGCCAAAAATAAGCCAGTACTATCACCAGCAGGTACCACATGCATGGACTGGGCAGTGGCATAAGTTTAATGTCGCACACACGTCCCG